GGTCTTCTAGCGTCTCCCATTGTTTCCAATGGGCAATCCTGTCCTTCCTTTTAGTACATCCCGTCGTCGGGAGTCTTCCATGCCGCGAACCCAGTACTTTTCAGGATGAATTCATGAATAAGACTTGAATAAGGAATGAATAAGGAACCGGGAATAAAGAACCAACTTCATCCTCATGGAGTTAAGCTGAAACGATCTATGTGTTTTGTCTTTTAGGCTGCTTAAGTTAATGTACTAGAAGAATACATAACAGACTCTTTATTGCGGCTGTGTCTCTGCAATTTGGCAAAAAATGAAAAAGAAAGAAAAAGTAAAAGTAAACAAGAAAGTTATATAAAACCAGGTCTCAGTCCCAGAAATATACACTGCAATCAGTCACTGGGCCTTTTATGTACGGGAGAAACCTCCACCCGGGGGCGTGTCGCTTTGCGACGATTCTGTCGCTCAAAAACGTGCAGCCCAGAGCGATAGACTTTCGCGGCCCGCCCTCTCCATGTGCCAGGCTCCGGCGGAGGTTTTACTTCCTTTCCACCGGCGGTCTCTGGAGCTGAAGATGGCGGCTGCTGCTCCTGCCCTGGGAAGGTTACTGAAACCTGCGGTAAGTTCGGGCGCGGCTTGCCATCTGCAGCTCAGCTCTCGTGGTCTCGCAATGCGTAGACCGAGATAAAGCGATCTCTGGTCGTTCTTGTTACTGAGCAGAGGCTGCAGGCTCAGTTGAACCTCCAAGTTCCCCCCAAGGACTTTGGATACTGTTTATAGAAAGCATAGAGGCAGGATCCGTTTCGGCAGCCTGTCCCATCTGGGAGCCTAGGGACGGATAGCGCTTTCCTCGGGGGGCGGGAAGTATGCACTTTCCCAGGCAAAGGGAGTCAAGTCCAGCTTCATTGCGTCCTGTCCCTTCCTTCTTCTATCGCCAGGGCCTGTCTCTCTTGCAAAGCTGCTCTGCGCCTTTCTTTACGGAGGACGATTAAGCTGATCATAGCGCTTTTGGGGATTTCCCGGGCCGGGGACCTCTTTAACGGTTTGCTGGATGCATATGGGGCAGCCTCGCGTAGCTTGCAGGCTATGGACTTCTGCGCGGAGCTTTCACCCCAGCCGCCGTCGGTTAGTTTGGCTAGGGAGGGCTGCAACGCGCGGTTTACCTGTTTTCCCTCTCCCCATCGGTTTTCTGTCTTTTTCTTTCCTATAGCTCGGCCGGCCCATTGCCTTTCCCTGGAGGGCCTGCTCGGCTGCCGGAAGGCCCCTTCGAGTAGTTGCACCAGCTGTCTGGAGAAAGTGTGAAGCCCAGGCAACGCCAATTTCCCCTCGGCTCCATTTCAGTACTAGTGAGTGCGCCTATCCCTGAGTTTGTACGCGCCTACTCCTGTTTGCTTTTGTCTCCCTTCCCAAAAGAAATGGTCTCTCCCTCCCTCTCTCCAGCTTCTTTCTTTTCTGGCCTGCACTACAGAGAGGAGACGTACCCATTAAAAAGAAGGGGCATGTGCACTCTGTTTTAAAAAGAAAATCCAAACTCTGCATGAAAGCAACCTAAAATATGTAGGAGAAAGGATTTGGGGCTTATTATTTTCTCTTTGGTTTTAGTTGGGGATTCTTGTAAGCTGCCTTGAAAGGCAGGGTATAAATGTTATAATAAATCCATAAATATGTAGAGTGGGCAAGTGTGTGTGTGTCTAGATTGCCCAAATGGTTCTGTCATGGGAAGGGGTGAGGAGGACAGAAATGTGGCTACCCATTCTACCAATGTCAAAACATAGGCACAGCCGGAACTCCTGTTGGGATCTCGCCCTGCCAAAAACGTCTGTATCCCCCCCCCCCAAGTGTTTATTTAAAATGCTGTCTCTGTCTGTCAAGTAACTTCCCAGACTGTGTTTTTTGAATGGAACAAGTGTACAGTGGAGTCAGAAGCGTGACCCACCCAGTGAGTCATGCATCCCAGCCACTCACATGTTTGTGCCCTAAGGTAACAGGTGTATGTAGCTGCTCTGTGTGTCCTTCTGTGTTAAGGCTGCTAGTTGCATGTTATGTGTATTGCTTTTGTCTTGGGGCAGAAAAGGCTGTTATGTTTTATGAACAATTTCTTTTGGGGAGGAAAGTGGTTTTTTTTGGGTGTGTGTGTGTGTGTATGTATGTGCTTGTGAGCCTGGAAGTCATGGTGACTTCTGGTGACCCTAGTGGGGCTCTCTTATTTCCGAGAGGTGGCTTGATATTACCTGCCTCTGCATCCCAGCCCTGGTATTCATTGGAGGTCGCGCTTCCAAGTACTTGCCAGGGTCGGCCCTGCTTAGCTTTTCAGATCTGATGAGATTGGGCTTGCCTTGGACTATCTAGGTCAGGGCGTTTCATGTATAATTTCTTAAGGAACTACAATACCAGTATCCCCTACTGTATTTACCTTTTCACAGGTTCTTCAAAGTTTGTTCCTGCTGTTACCCAGCATGCTCCCTATTTTAAAGGCACAGCTGTGGTTAATGGAGAGTTCAAAGAACTGAGTTTAGATGACTTTAAAGGGAAGTATTTGGTCCTGTTCTTCTACCCGTTGGATTTGTAAGTAATTACATTTATCTCTTTAAAACAGATGTGGCCTGCAGTTATCATAACTCGGGGGCCCTTAATCTACAGAAAACTTAACTTTTCTCTACTTTCATTCTGCCCGCCTTTGTGTATTGCTCTGTGTAGAGTGTAACAGATAAGAACTAAGCTGAAAGTGGTGGTGTTCTTGCATTAAAGCCTCATTTGGACAAGGTGCATGGAAGTTTGGCTTCTGGAAAAAATGAAAAGAGATCTCACTGATGTATGTTGAAATAAGAGTATTGTTAGCAAGCCATTTCAAGTTATAGGGAGAACCACATGTCTCTGTTCGGACTTTCCTGCTTTCCTCGAAAGCACTTCAGAGTCAGAGGAAACTGATACTCCTATGCAGGGCCAGTAATTCTAGCTAATGTATTCTCTTAAAATCTGAATGATTTCTAATTCAAAAGAAGTACAATGAAACAACAAAGTGCACTGTGAAAACAGTGATCATGACCTACAACAGGGTGCATATTTTTACAAAACTGGTGGTAAGCGTTTCCAAAAATGTAATCATGGATTACTACCAATTCTTGCCTTCCACCACAGGCAATGTCTTGATTATGCTGACACCCATTCACCTTTGGCAGTAGTAGTCTACATTGTGGTGGTAACAATTCTTTAAGGACTCGATATTACTGGGTTTCGTTGCCTAACTTACCAAAGCGGGAGAGTGTGCTGTCACTAACTTGCAGCGCCATTGTGAGCAGCATTATACTGCTACTTCAGTAGAATAAAAGGATGGAGCTCTGCTTAGGACTGCAGTGTTAGAAATGCGCTGGAGGTATGATTGACACCCAAGTGCCTTCATTTCAGTTTAGTGCTGTCAGGATTCACTGTTTCTGTATGTATGTGTATTGCAAATCCACAATGTTTGAGTCTGTGGTATGTATCCTGCCATGTAGTTCCTCCAGCTGCCATGTGGTCACACTGTATAAAGTTCTTGTATGGTGGGATACGGGGCAGTAGGTCTATCAGATCCCAACACATTTCCACCCTTAAGATCATTTTCTTGAGAAACCACCCTCTGTCAGCTCTTTGATGTTCTGTTGTGATCTGTGCTTAGGAAAAAAGGAATCTGTTTTTTGGGGAATTGGAAAAGGTGAGTTGATGGGTGGATCTCAGCAGGCTTCTGCTTATTTCAGACCATTTGAGACCTCTTAATACCAAGATTTAGAAGATCTGTATATTATAACAAGTTTCAGTAGTATATATATCTAGAGCACCTTCTGCATAGACCTAGAGAGGTATTCTTCATTGGTCTAGCAGTTTTTCTCCACTGTGAATGGTAAAACATGTTTTCTTGGCAATGTTGCATTTTTCTTCTGAACTTTGTACTAAATGTGTAATCTGAAGGGTTTCGAAACTTTTTGTTTTTGAATGCTCTCTATTGAAGATAAGCAAAGATTTCTTTCTTTCTCTTTTGCCATGTTAATTTGCAGTACAAAACTCTGCATTATTTAATCAGGACTGATTGGTTCCCTCTTACATTCTGGTTGTCTTTCCATTAGCACCTTCGTTTGTCCAACAGAGATTATCGCTTTCAGCGACAAAGCTAATGAATTCCATGATGTGAATTGTGAGGTTGTTGCTGTATCAGTGGATTCTCACTTTAGTCATCTTGCCTGGATAAATACACCACGAAAGGTATAATTTGAACTCTTTTGCTGTGCTGTCACTGAAAAGGGAGGGGGTCTAATATAGTATGATCTCTTCCACAGTTTGGGAAGGTACAGAACCACTCTTTCTCTCTCTCTCTAATGTTCTTCTGACTTTCTCAGCATGATTGTCATGCTAGGGTTTTAAAGTAACAGCCAGGTTGCTGCCATATGGGAGTGCTATTGAAAAGTACAATAAAGAGCAACTCCTGCTTAGTCTCTGACTGTACTTGTGCAATTGAGCAATATGTTTGCCTGTTGGTTGAGTGGTAACTGGTGAGTTAGGGTCTATTTGATGCTGGCATGATGACTATCCAAAACATTCTTGTCTACCTTCTGCGTTTCAAACAAGATTGGGTGTATTTGATGCTGGCATGATGAATATCAATCAAATAGACCTTTAATGGCATATACAACATTAAAATCAGAGAGCATGATGAATATCTAAAACATCCTTGTCTACCTTCTGCGTTTCAAACAAGATCTTGTAGCGAGAAACTGAGTCAAGCGACAGCATGTGTTTTTTCAAAACATGAACAGTTGCTCATGTTCCTGGTATTGTACTGTTAACTTTCTATGGGGAAAGGTGGTAACTTGCTGTCCAAGACAGCAGGTATAGGAGTCACATGAGGGAATGGAAACACAGTAAGGATCAGTTGTAAATAGAAATCTCCTGTCTAGCTGAACTAGCAGTCTCGACATCTAGGTGGTGGATTGTATACAATTAGTTACTTCAGTCTAGTAAAGGTAGTCCACATGAAGAATTGCCTTCTGTGCTCAGTTCCCCTTCTGTATTAGGCTTCATAGGCAAAAGAGCACTAGGTAAAGGTAAAGGTTTCCCTTGCTCGAAAGCCAGTCGAATCCGACTCTAGGGCTGCGGTGCTCATCTCCGTTTCCAAGCCGAAGAGCCAGCGCTGTCCAAAGACGTTTCCATGGTCATGTGGCCGGCATGACTAAACACCAAGGTGCACGGAACACTGTTACCTTTCCCACCGAAGCGGTACCTATTTATCTACTTGCAATTTCTTGCTTTCAAACTGCTAGGTTGGCAGGAGCTGGAACCAGAGACGGGAGCTCACTCCGTCATGTGGCACTTGGGTCTTGAACTGCTGAACTACCGACCTTCCAGCTGGCAATTCAGCATCTTAACCACTTGAGCCACCACAGCTCCAAAACAAAAACAAAAAACAAAAAAACAAAAGAGCACTACAAAAACAAAAAACAAACAAAACAAAAAACAAAAGAGCACTACAGAGGCCTTAAACTTTGTTTCTGGACCTGGATTGTGTGGAGCTGTCCTCTTCACTGTATCAGTCCTTAGAGCAGAGCTGATCAGATGTTACAGTTGAGAAAAATCCTTTTCCCACCTCTGTTCATCAATAGGTAATCACTGTCAAAGGCATTAGTGCTAAACATCTGTATGAGGTGGTGCAGTTGCTCATGCTCCCAGAGCTGTTTGGAGCAGGGTCCTAATGTTCGAATCTGACTGGTTTGGGTGGCCCTTTGACTTTTCAGATAAACGATATTTGGTTACCAGTATTGCTTTCCACTCTAATAAAAGTGTGATGCAAGGCAAACTGTGTTGTTGTAACACAAATCAAATGCACTAAACATATTAATGTAGGTTTTTTGGTAAGTCTCTCAACGACTTAAGTTTAGGTAGAATTGAGAAAGGTTTTCTTGCACAGAAGACACGTGTCAAAAAACTGTGACACGTTAAGCTTATTAACGTTAAGCTTATTTATGTTTAGACAATTTTAGGGTCTCCATATGTAGTTAGAACTGAACATTGTCAGACAGATGAGGTTTGCAATTCCTATTTGGTATGACTGCAGAATGCAGCCCCCTGAAATTTCATAGTATAATAAGCATGAATTCTTGAATTCAAAGTAACCTTATGTTACAGCTGTGTAGATTTGTAAGTTAGTACCCAAGTTTCTGAATTATACAGGTTCAAAAGAAATGCAGTTGATTTAAACCAAAAACCAAGGGGAGACACTAATGTGAATCCCGATGCAGTTCTTGAGTAGGGTGGAAACCTAGATAAAAATGTCTGCAGGATAATCCAGTGCCTTTTTTATTTATGCAGCTGCTGGTGTGACCTTGGGTCAGTAGGTTCTTTCAGAGCTGTTCTCTCAAGGACAGTTCTCGAAAGAGCTCTCTCAGCCCCACCTACCTCACAGGGTGTCTGTTGGGGGGAAGGGAAGGGAAAGGGATTGGAAACCACTCTGAGACTCCTTTGGGTAGTGAAGGGCGGGGTATAAATCCAATCTCTTCTGCTTTCTTTCAAAAATAACAGAAAAAAGAATAAGGAGAAAAGGCCCCTCAAAATCCAGCAACTAAATAGAATAATTTTTTAAAAAGGAAAAAAGTATACATAGAGACATAATGTAGCAGCACTGGTGGTAGATCTACACATAAGTTTCTATAGAGGGTTTCCTAATACCTAAAAAGTCCATACGCAGTTGTTTATATGTGGTCAAATACTGATAACATTTTAGGGTCTTCAGTATTATCCAGAGCCTATAAAATAATTGGGTTTTGCCTGAGCCTTCAGTCACAAGTGGCTGTTTTGCTACTAAGCACTAGCAAGAATTTGAGTAGTTGGAAATAGACAAGCCATTTGACTATACAGGCTAATTATTCTAGTAATTTCAGAGTCCTTATGCAATTTTTTTAGGCCTGATGAAGAAGAAAATGTGTAGCTGTCTTATAATGGCAGTACTACTCTTACAATTGTCCTTTCTCCTCTTTCCTCTAGAAGAATATGGAAGGCTTGAACTAGGTGGGCAGTGCTGGTTTTTTTAATCTCCTATGGCTCTAGGGAATATTTGCTCTGTAATAAATCCTGTTATTCAGGCTTAGGAAGAATTGCTTTGCACACTAGCAACATTACCTGGAAATTTTCAGGTTATGGATCCAGTTTCAGGTTCTAAACTGTGTTGAAGCAGTGCTGAATGCTTACTGCTTTGGTAAACCAGGAATGGATCAGATTTGATGGATGTGTGCAGCTGTAAATAGTTTTATGGCACTTATGTGTATCTAACATCCTTGAAGCCAATGTGGATAAATTTATGCATCTGTGAAAGCTGGCTTGCAAAAATGAATAATGTGATTACCCAAGGTCACTCAGAAACAGACCCTGAATAGTCCCCGAGAGTTTATGAAACTTGACAGCCTTGTTTCAAGGATAAGTAGTTTGTCTTCCTGGCTGTGGGATGTTGTGAAATTCAATAGATGCAGCAGCCTCTACTAATAACTAAGTGTGCACCGCTGCAATGGGAAAGCAGGCTGACACATTTATACATGTATAGCTAGTAGCAACATTTCAGTCTTGAAATTCAAAAGCATATGGTTGAAACCTTACCCATTCTGTTGGTGTTGCTGACTTAACGCTGCTTTCACACATGCTAAATGATGCACTTTCAGTCCACTTTGAGTTCACTTCAGTGATGATTTGCAAGTGGATCTTGCCATTTCATGCAGTAAAATCCAGCTGCAAAGTGCCCTGAATTTCATTTTAATTCTGTTCACTTATTTTATGGTAGAATGTTATGATAAAATAATTGCACATAGTTTGGTTTTGAACAGGATTTCAAATCCAGCTGGTCCCTGTTTATTGGGAGGGAATTTATGGATAATCTGTATAAATTTAAGTATCAGACAATATAAAAGATTCCTTTTGTAGTTAACAAAGCATGCACTTCATGGGATCATGAAACATTTAATTTGGTTAAGTGACCATTTTAAACTTGTTGGGAGCACTTAAACTTTATGCAGTGGGAACTGACTAATAAAGATTTGCTGGATGTTGTTGGCTTGTATGTAGTAAACTCTTTTTCAATGCTTTATATAAACTGTCAAATCTTGATTGAGTGAATGTGGTTTATAAAAGGGTGATCCCTTACCAAATGTTTGCTGCCATACTGAGGAGAGTTTTATATATATATGTGTGTGTGTGTGTGTGTGTGTGTGTGTGTGTGTGTGTGTGTGTGTAACTCTGCCTTTGATGGCCCTGTTAGTCTCTCACACTGACATTCCTGAATCTATCTTCTGTTCTTCTCCCCACACATGCACACACAATTTTTTTTCATGACTTTTCACATATTTGACTAATTTAGTCTTTCCTTTTTGTAGTTCTGTAGGAGGGAATTAGATTTAGATTCAGGAAGTGTGTCTTAATTAAGCTGATTCTTTAAAGACTCTTTAAATAAACAAATCAGGATTTACTCAGTCTTTGTCTCTGTCTCACCCCTCCCCTGTTTTTTCATTAGAATGGTGGATTGGGCCATATGAATATTTCTCTTTTATCAGATTTAACAAAGCAAATTTCTCGAGATTATGGTGTACTCTTGGAAGCATCTGGTATTGCATTGAGGTGAGAGCTTACTCTTTATCATTTCCATGGGATGGTACTAAATGTTCCTGGTGTTTGTAGCCTGTATACCTATTTTAAATCTGCTCAAAGTTTGAAATTTCACTGGAATGGTTATACTACTTGCCTGTTTTAAGGTCTGCATTAGGTAAGAGTTGTAATGAGAGGCTTTTACTCCCACATCCAATTAGAGAATCTGGACTAAACAATTTTTAAAAGGCCTTCGCCTACTCAAACCATTTAGTAGCAGAGTTCTCCAGGATTTATCTATTAAAGGCTGTTTATCAACCTTTAAATCTGGTAATAAAAGCAAGGAAGATGTGCGTTCTCTTCTTTGAACAATAACTAGCAAACCAGACCTAAACCCTTCAGAGACTTGATCTTTTATTGAAAAAAATAGTTCTCTTTATTAATGCAAGACATTAAGAAGCACAAGCATGTGGAAATTAATGCTACAGTTACTATAAAAATAAGTGCTAAAATGGTCAAAGTTCTTAAAATTGCTTAACCATAGTATAGTAATATTTTTAAAAGCAAACCAGGTTTCAGATTTTTTTGTATTAGGGATTATCAGCAAACCCAAGTCACACACACCCAGAAATCTCACCAAGTCTTCTTCTGAGACGTCTGTCCCCAGAAATCTGATTTGCTTATCACGATAGTGCATATTTATAGAAAAATATCAATCTTCCTCTAAATCTCTTCTGTCATGTGATTATTATCTAGATATATGATTGGTTCTTAACTAAATATGAGATAATCAGCACAAGTATACATGAATCAATCAGCAGGTGCATCGAAGTTACATCTAATAAACCAAGATAAGAACACCTATTTTAACTTTTAACCTCTTCAAAAGCAGCTAATCTAACTTTTCTGAAATTGTTTCAATTAACTGTCAAAGATTAAAGTAGCTTTAAGCAAACAGAGTTCGCTGGCACTGTGCGAACTCTGAGTTGACATGCAAAATCCGCAAGAAAAAACTGGTGAAGTAATCGGGTACCGCTACAAGTTGAAGCACACTGTTGGCAGACGCTAATGAAGCATGTGACCTTAAAACTCCTGATGGGAGTGAGACGATAGACCATGTGAGTCTGCTGAGCATCTGTTTCAGCTTTAAGAACTTCCCTTTAAAAAATGTTGCTATTATGATTAACTTTGCTGAACTGGTGCAAGGGTAGGACTGCACTGAAAACTGTTCATTGTCGTCTATCTATATAGAAGAAATTCCCCTCACCGTAAAATCAACATGAAATTTGGGGAGAGCACTTCTACCATGAGGTAGATCAGGGGTGTCAAACATGCGGCCTGGGGGGCGGATCAGGCCCCCAGAGGGCATCCATCAGGCCTGCAGTGGAACTGGCCATGCTTCGCCAGACTGTCTTAATCACTCAGCCATTTCATGTTTTAACCTGGGTCCTAGGCTCAGAACTCTGAGCATGAGATTTCTGTGGTGAATGGCAATAAATCAAAAGTAGGTTGGCAGCTTACAGAGGTAATGTTTTAAGCATGTTTTTATTTTAAGTAAAAACCCCACAACCCTTTGTGTTTGTGTCCTTTTAAAAGTTTATATCTCCGCTACCTGGCATTACATTTTATGACACACATGGCCCAGCCCGACAAGGTCTCATTTATGTCAGATCTGGCCCTCATAACAGATGAGTTTGACACCCCTGATGTAGATGCTCACTAAGAAGGGATTTTTGGAAATTCGACCCCTAAGGAGGTCAAAATGGGTAAATGTGCTCCCCCCATTGCTTCATGCTGCCTCCTTGCAGCCCCCACTCTTTGATTGGTTAGCTGCAGAGCTCAGTGTTCTGAGGTTAAAAAAAACCAGTTACAAGAGACTGCAGAGAGCTACTGGTAGTTGAGGAAATCAGAAATGGCCAGCCACCTGTGAGGTGTTGCAGTGCTGCTGGCCCAGCCTTCCTGATGGCTTCAGACATGCTCTCCCCCACCTCCTACATCTGATAGGTGGCTGTCTGTCAGGAACAGCAGTGGGTGCAGGGTGCTTAAAGCCATCAAGGAGCAAGCCCCAGCAGTAACGCCTTAGCGATCCTGCCGGCCCAGCCTCCACAATGGCTTGCAAGACCTCTTCCCCTCCTACACTGGACAGGCAGCTGCCTGTCAGGTGTAGGAGAGGGCGTGGGATGCTTACAACTGTCAGGGAGGCTTAATCAGCAGGATTTCCCTAGTGCTACTGCTGGCCCAGCTTCCACAATGCCCCAACACCAGACAGGCAGGTGTCTGTCATGTGTAGGAGATGGCCAGGGTACTTTAATCAATCATGAAGGCTGCCTGAGGAGAAACACCTTAGCAGTGCTGCTGGGCCAGCCTCCCTAATGGCTTTAGACACACTCCTACCCACCCCTCCTCCACCTGTCTGTCAGGAGCAGGGGCAGAGCATTGAAAGTCATCAGGGAGGCTGGCCCAGCAGCAGTGCCTTAGCAATCATGCTGGCCCAGTTTCCCAGATGCCTTCAAACACGCTACCTCTCCTACACCTGACAACCACCTGTCAAGGGTTAGAAGTGACACGGAGTCCTTAAAGCCATCGGGAAGGCTTTCTCAGCATGATTGCCTTAGCCCTGCTGCTGGCCCAGCCTCCCCAATGCCTTTAAACACAACCCCCCGTAGTGTTCCCTCTAAGCTGAGTTAGCATGAGTTATCTCACAGTTTTTTAGCCTCCAGCTCATATTTTTGTCTTAGCTCAGGAAGGATGGCTCCAGAGCAAACTAATTTATGCAGTAGCCAAATCACTTGCTCACAACTTTAATGCCAGTAGCTCACAAAGTAGAATTTTTGCTCACAAGACTCCACAGCTTAGAGGGAGCATTGCCCCCCCCACAACAGACAGGCAGGTGTTTGTCAGGTATAGGAGAAGGGACAGGGTACTTAACAATGCTGCTGGCCCAGCCTCCCCAATGGCTTTAGCTACATTCCCACCCACTATGGAAATATACCCCAACTTAGCAGAAAAGTGGTTTCCTGTATTAGGTTATTTAACTTCTCACAATGTGTGTTCTAGAAAATTGGTTCATATGAAGTTGGTTAATATCTGATTGCTCAGATTTTGTTTTGAATATGCAGTTATGTCCCACTTCTTAAATGTAACATAAAAGAGAAGCATTTTTGTAAAAAAAAAAGAAAAAAAAAGTGTATGCTCTGCAAACCCCCCCCCCCCCAAAAAAAACAAAGCCGCAGGCACACCACGGCCAACCCCCTGTTCCAAGAAACCCAGAATAAGGTGTGGCAACCCCCAGTTCAAAGAGATTTTTGAGAAACACGGCCCCTAAGGGGGTAAAAAAGGGGCAAAATGTGTTCCCCCAATTGTTTTCCATGTGCCTGGCAGGCTGCTGCCTTCTCTCCCCCCCCCATTGATCAGCTGTGGATCTCAGTGTTCTGAGGTAAAAACAGAGTTAAAAGAGATTGCAGACAGTTGAGGACAGTTACAGAAATCAGTGATTCAAGAGTCCTGAACAGACATTTCTCATAACAGCCAGCATGGCAATTAAGTTTATGAATGTTCATGGGGAGATAGTACAGGACCTTTCTAGGAGCCATTTCGGTGCCTGCCTCCCTCACGAACCTGAAGAAATGTCCACCACATCACCACTCCCTCAAACCAACTCCCCTTCACACATCTCACCTCTTACTGCCCCCAAGAAAGATCTATGCAAGGGGTCTCTTCCCCCTACAGTATTGTATGTTGCCAAAAAGTAGAGAGCATCATCTGGTGCTGATTTGTGATGCTCCTCAGATATGTTTATTGCATCCATGTCCCCTTGAAGTCTTTGAGGTAGCTTTACAGCTGGTGATCAAAACAACCTCTTAAGAAGTAACCATATGGTATAAAAACAGGGAATAATATACGCCTATATTTATATGTCATCTAAGTCCCATTACTCCACAGATCAGGGGTCCCCAGCGCAGTGCCCATGGCACCTGCCAAGGCTTTTCCTGGTGCCTGCTAAGTGTATTTAGAAAATGAGTGGGGCCAGGTAAGGCTTTTGCCCAGCAGGGCTTCTGATTGGCCATTAGAGATTTGATTGGCTGTGCTACAGCACAAGGATCTTCACCGTGTGACTGAAGGTAAGCTGCAGCAGCCCTTTTGTGGCTGTGCTCTCCATGTTGTGTCAGAATTCAAAAGGTGCCTATAGGCTCAAAAAGTTTGGGAATCCCTACCATTGCTCCTTTTTGATAGAGGGAATAACCTTGTTTGCGGCCAAGATGCATTTTAAACTGAAAAGGGACTGCATTCTATTTTATTTCTCTAAAGGGGCCTTTTCATCATTGATCCCAGTGGAATTATCAAGCATTTAAGCATCAATGACCTCCCAGTTGGTCGCAGTGTCGAAGAAACGCTTCGGTTGGTGAAGGCGTTCCAGTATGTAGAAACACATGGAGAAGTCTGCCCAGCCAACTGGACTCCAGATTCCCCGACGGTGTGTTGCTAACCCTGATATGGTGTTCCTCAGTGCAAATGTGGCAAGCATCCCATCCTCACAATAAGAGACAGGGTTTTCTTGGATTTCCTGAAGTATGAAGTATGAAAATTGTGATTTCCTGAAGTATGAAGTATGAAAATTGTGATTTCCTGAAGTATGAAGTATGAAAATTGTGATTTCCTGAAGTATGAAGTATGAAAATTGTGATTTCCTGAAGTATGAAGTATGAAAATTGTGATTTCCTGCCCAGCCAACTGGACTCCAGATTCCCCGACGGTGTGTTGCTAACCCTGATATGGTGTTCCTCAGTAGAAATGTGGCAAGCATCCCATTCTCACAATAAGAGACAGGGTTTTGTTTTTCCTGGGTTTCCTGAAGTATAGAAATTGTGATAAAATTTCAGGAATCTGATGATAAGATCAGATACTTTGGACTGCCTCAAGTGAAATGAGATGTAGACGGACCTCTTGGAGACATCCACCTGCTTTTATTTCAATCAAATGATAATGAAATTAGACATATTCATGACATAAGGAACTAAGTTTCCTCTAGCTTGAATAAGAGTTGAAGGGGACCTGCTGTGCCATTAAAATAATGCAGTTCACTGTGTTACACTGGCAGAGGCTGTGCAAGAGCAGCTGCACTGTGCATACACGTGTGTGTGTGAATATTTTAGGACAGAATATGGGAGTAGCAGTATGCTGCCCTATCCATATCAACACAATGCCTTGCTCTCATTTAACTTGAAAAGCTGAGCATCTAGGGCCCACAGTACAGTGAGTTCTTGCAAATACACCATTGCTAATGTTTTGCTGCATGTCAGCCGTCTTTCCTGCATCTGGAGACGCAAGAAGCTGATCTGAAAGGGTGCAACAAATCCCAATCCATGCTAGACCCAGGATGTTGACCGAAATAACTTTTTAATCTGAAAATATTTTTAATCATGTAAAATATTAAGGCAGACAGATACGCAAAATTTCTGTTGCTACATTTAGCTACTTTTTAAAAACCTCAAGGTATTTAGTTCGTATCTTTGCTGAAAGTCATTTGCCAATTGTTTGGTTTTTTTCTTTTCTCCTTTGCAGATCAAGCCTAGCCCAGAAGCGTCAAAAGCGTATTTTGAAAAAGTACATCAATAAGTCAAGAGAGGGGAAGAGTTAGTAGAATATTGTGGGCTCAAACCAGAAACTGATTTTTAAGAGAGCAGCCAGGATTATAATGCAAATGAAAACCTATCTTATTACTTGTAGTGGAGAAAAGTCTGTATTTTAAAGGATTTTCCTCTCTCCCATGTACATTTAAGTGACAGTACTAAGTCCTTGTCATTTCTAACATGTAACAGTACTAAGAGAAGAAGCTCCTTTTTAATAATTGTCTGGTGAACAGTGATGCTTATGTATCATACTGTCTGGAACACATTAACACATTGGAATTATGCATCAAGAAGTGTGCAGAAATTTCTCTTTCTTGGTTATCTTTATTATCTGTCATAGGCACTCTAAAAAGAGGAACCAAGTTAAGCTTTAACAAATAAACTCTTGTGTCTATCATCTTCCCATTCTGCTGAAGGATTACTAGTCAATTCACACATGCCCTCAACTTGTACGCCCCCACGTTCCACTGTATGAAATATGTTACATGATGCCTGGCCCATGTTTGTCTGTACAAGGCTACATCTACCCATGTAGATCCAAGCCTTTCTTTTTTTTCTTTTTCCCTATGTGGGTGAGGCGTACTTGTGTTCAGATGTATGTTTATAGATCCAAACTATCAATAAATACTCTACAAATGATGTATGTGCGTGCGTGCGTGTATTAGAGTCCAAGACACTTCTGCAACTTCCTTTATGCAAAACCAACCACCTGTGCTGCTCTGTGAATTAGAGTAACAATGAAGTCTTGTGAAATCTACAGTCAGCCATCGTATGTAAGGTATTGATTGTACTGGAATGCTTGTGTGGGGAAAATGGATTAATACCTTTTAAAAATATATATAATGATGTGAACTAAAATTTTAGTTGTTAGTACTACTCAACAGTGAGTTTTGTTACAATTGATGTTGACTTTCGATGCTTTGGACTCTCAACTGTGGTACCATGGGGTATTTGTAATTATGTAGAAGATTCATTGATGAATATGTGCATTTAAAAGAGCTTATTTTCAAAATTATTTTGAACAACTCTCTTAAGCTATGCAACTATGAATAAATGAGGCTTAAAAAAACCTGCTTGGGATATACTGTAGTTCTTTTCTTGTATCTAGAAATCACTGGGCATGTTTGCTGCACTGGTTATATTAATGTGGATTTCTTAACCCTTAGAGTTTCTGCTTCACTTCAGAGTACCCTTCTAGCTCTCAAAGGGACAGTGCAATGCTCAGTCCTGGCAATTTCCTGTGGAATTGTTTGGAGTCACTGTTTGTATTAACATGCAGCCTGGAATGGTTTTTATAATCACCTTTTAAAAAATGCTGTAGTCACGCCAGTTATGATAGCTATGCAGAAGCTATGCAGAAGCTATGTTTGTGCAATGTCATGAATGTGCTATGGCTCTGTACATTCCTGTGGGGCCATAGATTGCATCAGACTATAGTTTGGCCAGGGCCTGGGGACCTTCCTCTCAGGTTGATGAAGTCCACACATGCATTTTGTCTGGGTTGGTTTCTGCATGCAATCGTGATTGAATATGTGTGGGTAGGGCAATGTAACTAATCGACATACATTCAGCAGCAATGTATGCTATAGCAGTGGCTCCACATAGGGCAGACATCCCACATGCATTGATTTAATTTAAATCATGTTTATGCTGCTTTTCCACCCAGTCCAGGGTTCCTAAGGCAGTAAACAGTCAGTACATTAAAATGCATGCATATATAAGCAATTTAACAAAATACGTATGCACATAAAGAGGAGTCAGGGTCGTTGAGGGAATGCCAGACAAAACGCAAAATTCTTCATCTGCTGGTGGAAGACAGTGAGGGGGACACATTAATCTCCCTGTGGAGCGAATCCCACAATACTGGTGCCATGATAGAGAAGGCATATTCTTAGTTGTCACCTGTGTAATTTCAAATGATGGAGGCACTGAAAGCAGCACCTCTCATAGCGCACAGTTCTCCCTATAGTTATCCAATGTAGTGTGACTGGTTCATGACAAGGTGAAAGTCACACAATTACAATGCTAACTCACACTGAATGGAGTCTGTCTACTTCCCAAACCCTCTGTGTAGGGCTTATTGCCTGCTGTGTATCTACTGCTTGTAGCCTGCCCTGTTTCCTAATACCACATATATACTGTAACAGCATGCACATTTCAACCTACTCCTTAGCATGTATTCCTGTTGTCACAATGTCGTCATTGCACTCAGTGAAAATGTAGATAAAGTGACCGTAATTGCCTGGTAATAAGGGACCACTTGGTTTCATACCAGATCAAATCTGGGGATGGTTTGGAGATTCTATATCCTGGTGAGCTCTCTGCTGAAGTAAGAGTTACTGATAACTATGGAGACACCAGTGGCAAGAATAGTCATATCTGGATAGGCAGCAAAAATTACATGATGGACAAGTAAATAGACATAGTACAGCAACTGCTAAACCTGCCCCCTCCCCTTTCTATAGCAGAATCATTCCTTAATCAATCCCTTTGCTCCATTTGTAGATAGATCTCCAGCCCATAGGCATTTGTTCACTCTGCCTTCCTATGATTTCTTTCTTTGGCCTTTGGGATTCACAAAATGATATGGCAGGGAAGTCTTTCAGATAAATACTCTGAATAGATAATAGAGATGAACATACAGGAATGGCACCTTTGTTTTTTGGTCTTATGTTGATGTCATTAGTAGCTGACTGCCGCACAGAAATAAGATGAGTGGAGTTTTTTCTTTCTGACATGGAAATAAGTGAAGAGGAAAACTTTGCTGTCTTAATTTCTCTTTGTTAGGTTTATTTAATTCATTTACCCCTGCCTTTCTGCCCAAAGGAGCTTAAATCGGTCTCTTCTTTGCTGTTTTATCCTTCCAACAAACCATGTGAGGTAGGTTAGGCTGAGAGCCAAGGACACCCAGCAAGATTCCATGGCAAAGTGTGGACTTGAGCCTAGGGTTGGTTTCCCATATCCTTGTCTGGCACTAAGCACTACACCATGCTGGTTGCTGTTACGGGTACAGGAATCAGATCAGAAAAATGAGATTCCTAAGCATGTTCACTCCTTGAGTCTCACTGCAGGTTCAATTGGTCTTACAAGTAAAATTGCACACTGTTGCAGACATGTAGTATAATCCTTAAACATATTTAAAAGGTAACTTGCACTAGTCCAAGGAGACTTATTCTCCGCTAGGAATAAGAGGTGCAGTCTTGGAGTCTTAAGCAAAAGAAATTCAGAACAGGTAATATTTTTGTCTTCAGTGCATGGTGTGGTATATTTGGCGGGTGTTAGATTGCTGCTAACAAAGACTCGAGAGTGATTTCAGCAAAGTGATTCAGCTTTAATGAAGTAACGAACAAGCACTCAAACGCATTCATAACCAAAACAGTTTAACATTGGGAGCTAGGCTCCTTTTAAACATTCCCGGGCTAACATAGCCACGCCTATTTACAGATAACAACCAATAAGATTATGTAGTTAAAAACCAATGAGAGTCTTTCCCTCTCTGTAGTCTGTACAGTTTCTGATTGGTCACTGTTAGAGGGCGACCAATGGCAATGCAGTTCAGTGGAGCCTTCATCCGGCTCAAGCTTTGCATGGGGAGTGAATGAAGCGATTCATATAAGCGATTTCCAATACATTACAGCGGGAGTAGACACTGTTGGTTCTTTCCAAAGCTATAGACTATTGTTTTAAAAAATAACTCTAAACACCATCTAAAACCTTTGTTGCAAAGCAGTTAACAAGTCTGTCCAATGCATCACATAACCTCTTCTATTATCTTTAAGATTGCATAGGAGAGAGACTTTCAGGGCTGCAATCCTATGTATGCTTATTTGGAAGTCTCATTGAACTCTGTGGCACTTATTTCCAAATATAACAAATAAATAAATGAATTAAGGCCAGGCTTTCTTCATCATAGCCAATATTATTGAGATACAATGGGAGAAGCTTGGTGGCATTTTCCTTTCTTGTCCCATGTAACTTTTATAGATATAGGAGATAGGAGTCCGTCAGTATTTCTTTCTGGCAAATATAGTAGTTAGGAGTAATAAAAATATGGTTTTCTCTCACCTGAAAATGCATTGTTTATGAATGAAGGACAATAATCTAATCCCATAAATGTTGTTTAGTATAGGGATATCGTTTATTTTGACTTGTATAAAGTTTTGTTTGTATAATTCTATGTAATGC